TAGGAGGGGCTTGTGAGCAGTGGCCACAGAGAAAGCTGGAACATGCGGGAGGCTTGGGTCGCCCAGACCAGCCACCAAGGGAGGGGCCTGCAAACGGCCCTCAGCCCCTCATCCAGGATGGCCAGGGACCCCAGCACAAACCCCTACCCTGAAAGGGGTGTGGCCAGCCTGAAAATAGCCCTTAGCCCCTCACCCAGGCTGGAACTGTTCCCAGTGGGGACCCCCATCTCAAAGGGGGTTTGGCCAACCTGCAAACCACCACAGGCCCTTTGCCCAGGCCGTCCTGCCCCCAAAGTGAACCCCCACCCTGATCTGGGACGCCCTTCAGGGCAAACCAGCCAGCCCCCACCCATGCACCAGGCCTCTACCTAAACTAATGAAAGGGTAATATGCTAATTAGACTGGGAGACCTTCCAGACATTTTTTAGACAAAGCCATGGTGGTAGGGTTGGGGTAGGGGCCAAGAAGGGAGGGCAGCTTGGGGTAATCAGGCCAGGATGGGATGTCAGTTGTGGGTGATCAGGCAGGTGGGGAAGAGCAGTTGGGGGTCAGCAGGCTGGCAGGGGGCAGTTGGGGCAAGCAGGCCAGCAGGGGAGGCAGTTGGAGGTGAGCAGGCCAGCAGGGGGGGGGGGGGCATTTTGGGGTGAAAAGGCTGACAGGGGGGCAGTTGGGGGCGAGTAGGCTGGCAAGCAGAGTGATTAGGAGCAATCAGTCAGGCAGGCAGGTGAGCAGTTAGGAGCCAGCAGTCCTGAATTACAACATAGATGTCCCAGATTGGAGAGGGTGCAGGCTGGGCTGAGGAACACACACACACACACACACACACACACACACACACACACCCATACACACACTGTGCACAAATTTCATCCACTGGGCCACTAGTATCAGTTATATTTATGAAAATATTTATATTTATAAAAGTTACAGCATAGTAACCAAAAAGCCAGGTATGATTCCTAGATCTCTGGCTTTGCTGACTTGAAGGGTAATAACCTTGACTGTAACAGGGATTTCAGATTTATAAGATATCTATTTTGGATATTTAAAAATCTGCAGTGGTTTTTTAAAATAGTCAGGTGGAAGCTCTAGATCTCAAGTTCAGAAAAGAGTGTGAGGTTGAGATTTGGGAATGATTGGCCTATTTGTGGTAGTTGAGTCACAAGTGTTGAAGCAGCCTTCCAAGGAAACTGAGTAGGAGCTCTCACGGTAATAGAAAGAACTGGATTACAACCCAAAGGGAGAGAACATTTCAAGAAGGAGGAATTTGTTCAACAGTGTTCAAGGCAACAGAGATCAAGAAACACAAGGGTTGAAGTCAGGTTATGAATTTCTCAACTAGATAGAACCTATTCAGGTCTGTTTGGCATATTATTGACCAAGGTCATGTGAGCAGATTACATTTCCTTTCAACAATTTTTACTTAGAATTGTATCATTACACTCTTATCAACACAGTATTGACAATTACCTACTAAGCAGTAGTTGGTGTAATTGAGGTCTTTTCATCACATGTTACTTTGTAGATTTTAACTGAAACCAAAAAAGTCACTGTCTCCTTGATACAGACAAAATCTAGTAGCAACTATATTCTTTTTTTACTTAAATTTTCCCACCACCCCTTAAGTCCTCTTACACTTTCACCCATCACTCCCTGCCCCCTGCAATCACCACACTGTTGTATGTCAAGGAGTAGCTACTATATTCCCTTTTGACTTTGCCACTTGACTCTGGCATTGCCCAGCAGAGCAGGGGTTCTTTTGAGTTCAGTGTATCTATTCACGTATGGGGTGATGGCTCAATTCTCCCACTCTTTTTATTGGAATACTAGGAAAATTTATTTTGAACAATATGTTATGACAGTGTTTGGTCTCACTTAGCTGGGCATAGTGTTTATATGTTTAGTCCACTTCTTTTCTTTTTTCTGAGATTATTAAAGTATTTCTACTTTGAGCCAATGGGATCCTAAGCAAAAATGCAAATATAGGCAGTGAAATCAAGTGTCAGTACTTGATTAAAGGGCAATTCAGAAAATGCTTATGTTAACACTTCTAGGTCATTGAACTGAAAACATAAAATGTCACAATCCTCCTGTAGAGCTTGCCCTGGAGATTGCACTTTGTTGACCCAGGTTTCAGAAACACTGCCAAGGAAGACTGAGCCCAGTGGACAGCCACTCCTTTCATGCCTAGATTTTATTTTTTATTTCAGAGTCTTTGAGAGAAGAAGGCTTAATTGGTAGCCTTCAAGGAGTAACATTAGTCAGTGATAGTTACTGGCCTGTGATGACTTCCAAAGACCTGCTTTTAGAATCATTTTTACTCTTTTCATATGTTCACATTTTTCTTACTATATAAGTGGAAATTTATCTGATAATTAACTATGGGGTATTAACTTTTGCTTCATCTATATTGCCAAGAACAATGACAGATTCCAGCTGACAGTTGGTTGTCTTCTTTTATTTAATACATACTCAAGCAGTTAATATGATTTGGGGGGGAGAGGGGAGAGGACAGGGAAGGCTTGCATAACAATTGCTATCACCACAGAGATAGGCATCGAAATAAATTAAGGAGGCCTGGCTTTCTTAAGAGTAGGCACAGCAAGCCTGGAAGTATATCAGATACTAGTTCTTCCTGCCCATAAGAAAGAACATCTTCTCACACTCTCTTATTTCTATGGACTTTCATGAGAAGTCGTGGTCTGGGGACAAGGAAGTCATTAAAGCTATTTACTGATATTTTCTTTTCTGTCTGAGCAACTAATATAATAGAATTGAGTTTTCCACGTGGTCCTGTGACTCGCTGTGTGGCGAATCAAATGTGAGCAGAAGTGGCATTTATTATTTTTAGGGAAACCTTTAAAAGCTGGTTTCAGATCCACCACATTCTCCTCTCTCTGCCCCCATGCCAGCAATAATATTCAGATGATGGCTCCACTAGTCTGTGTTCATGAGTGAAAGTGATAGGTGTAAAGCCCCCATGATCATAGACAGGTAGCTCAAGAAATAAATAAACCTTTGCTGTTTTAGGGTATTGAGATTTGGGGCATGAAGTTGATTTCTACAGAAGTCAAGCACCTAAAGTGGTCATTGTACAGTGAAGAGAGTTGACAAAAGGGTTTAAGCTAACCAAGACATTTAGAAAGTGGGTTCAGCTAGTACTAACCCAGGTTATTTTAGGGGTACAGTGTCTTACAATTCTCAAAAACATTTTGGTATAGATTATGTCCTTTATTCTTCCTTGTGTTCTGGGGGCTAGTCAGACCTGCACCTATTCCTTCCAGACCAAGTCTTCCTGGTTAGAGTTAGACGCTCTCATTGACCCATTCTAATTTGAATATGCAGGAAACTGCATCTTCATAATTGTATACTTTCTTTCCAATATCCATGCTCCCTGGTTTCATAGTAAGTACTTTATAAATGCTCATTTGAAGAAACTGAGAAATGTGTTAAGTGACAATTCCAAAATTACAAGCTGGTAAATAGTGATCAGGACTCAAATCTAAGACTTAGCTGTCATTTACTGAGTGTGGAGGAAGAGAAAGCAGCTCTGACATCCAGGTGCTGAACTGGGCGATGTTAAGAGCTCTCTGGACTATCACTACGGTGTTCGGTAGAATAAAAACAATTTCATAGAATACCAACATCAGACAAGGCCATTCTACCACCTTGATCCAGACCAAAGCAAGACCACTCCATAGTCTTCTCTGAACATTATCTTAACCACAAGATTGACCAAAATGGCTATGACTGCTGCTTCTTTATCAGTGATGGCTTTTGCCTGCGATGGGTCTTCACTCCTTCTAAATAAGATTTATTAAGGCATCCAGTCACAGAATTACCCCACGTCCTAATAGCACCCCATCCAGTGCAGGTTTTGTTTTCTTGAACTATTCTCAAAATCATAAAACATAAACTCATAATAAATGTTAAACGTTTTATACTGTGATACTCCATGGTTCCCCATGAATGCATTCCTCCCCGCTACAAGCTACCAGATATAAGAAACCCAAATTGGTCAGTCAGGTGTGGTCCCGGTGGGCCCCAGAACTGCATGCGTGCACTTGTGGAGCGTTTCCTTACAACAATCCTGCAAGACGTTTACCCCCACTCCACTGGTAGAGAAACGGAGGTTCACAGACATGAAATAATTTCCCCAAGTTCGCAGCCCCAGGAAGAGCCAGATCAATGCATTTCGGATGAAGGCTAACCTGCCAGGAGCACTCTCTCTCTCTCCTGCACCCGGGGCCCTCCCTCGCCCCCTCCTCTGCATTTCCTCTTGAAACGTTCAGAGTGGGCCAGTGTTGCACCCCTAAGACAAGAGGCCATACTGTATTGAAAGATTTTTATTTCAGACACCTGGGTGCAGGTGGGCTGAGTCCCACAAAAAGGAGTCAGTGGAGAGTGCAGGGAGGGGACGGTTTTTATGAACTTTTGCTGGCTGCAAGCTTTTCTGCTGAGGTAAGGGTCGGGTCTGTCCTTGGCTCCTCCCGTGCCAGCTGTCTAGTGGTTATCTACGCTCTGCAGTGTTCAAGGCTGCAAGCTCTCTGCAAGATAGCTCCTCGCCACAGTACGTTTCCTCTGCCCCGTTTTATTCCCTTTAACCCTTTCACTTCTTAAGGCCCTTGCCTGGAGACTGAATGCTACGGGGAAGCAAACGTGCTATTTTTGCAACAGATGCCCCGAGTGCTTCCGTGAAAACCGACACCAGACCCAATCTTCCCGGGAGTGTGCCCTGTGCGCCCCCAAGCCCCCAGCCAAGAGGGCACAGCTGAGTAGGCACAGCCCCAGGCCTCCCGGGCGCGGAGGCGGGCCAATCAGGAGGCCCAAAGGCCGGCGCGGGCGGGACCGAGACGGCCCCGCGCTCCCCTCCCGGGCCCCGCCTCCCCGGCGGGCGGGGCTGAGTCCGCGCCCCCGCCGGGCCCAGCGTACTGGCTGCCAGGTCCCCGCAGCCTGCGCTGGGCGCCTCCGGAGTCGCTGGCGAGGGTGCGGGACGGCGGGGAGGGTGCGGGGACCGCAGGGGACCGCCGCGGGGCGCGGAGGGCGCTTTCCGAGCTTTGCTTTCAGGTGAGGGTGCGGCCGCCCCGCAGGTGCGTTGGGTCCAATTCCACGGAGCTTGTCCTTCGCATCCCGGGGCCCCGCGTCCGCAGCCGCTGCGAGGGAGGCGCGGCCGAGCGTAAAGTATCCCCGAGGGGAGACCGTTCCGAGCCGCAGGCCCTGAGCCTGGCAAGAAGACTAACTGCGGGGTGAGTCAGAGAAAATAAAAAGTCCCTTCGCGTTTGGGAGCGGTTTTCTAAGTGTCCCTTCCAGCCCGCTGTCAACAATAACAAAGAGTGGCGCAACTGTCACGTCCCAGAGCAACCTCACTGTTTTCCTAATGAAAACCCGCGGCAGGGTACCAGGGGGGGGACACAGTGTGATCACTGAGTCACCAAAATGGTGACAGCTTACTGTTTTAAAAAATTGTCTTAAAGACCGTGTGAGCCCTGCAAGGTTCTGCTCCTTAAAATGAGAAGTAGACAGTCTCCGGTCTACCAGGCACCCTATTCCAGAATAAAAGTTACTCTTTGAAAGTGCTTGTTGCTTTCTGTCCCTTTCCCTAATTTGCTTGTTTGTGCAATAAATTCCTCCAACTTTCCCATCACTGACTGAAAATCTAGCTTCAGAGAAAATGCACCTCATTCAGTGTCTCCTTCTTCTTTGTTGTAGAAGTCAGCTACTACCTAAGCACTATGAAGATTTTCCTTGTAGAGCCTGCCATTTGCCTCAGTGCCTTTGCCCTGACTTTGATCAGCCCACTGACAACACAGTACGTGTACAGGAGAATATGGGAAGAAACGGGCAACTACAGCATTGCACCTGAGAGCAATATTTCTGAGTGTGAAAAAAACAAAAGCAGCCCCATTTTTGCATTCCAGGAGGTAAGAAGTTAAAATACCCCTAACACATAAGAGGAAACGTGTAATAGGGTTTTAAATGAAAGAGTTGCAGGCCGCCCACACCACTGCAAGGAGTTGGATTACTCCAGTGTAAGGACGGCCATTAGAGGATTGTGAGCAAAGGAGTGACAGGAGCTGATAATACCTTAATCTCTCAAGAGTCAGTGTGAAACTCCTAAACCCCAAACCAGGTGCCTGTCTTCAGTTCTTATCCAGTTTGAGGTTCCCTGACACTTCTCATTGGCCTTGCCACTTGAAATCTCCTTCTTCTGTGACACTGATTCTTTGTCTTCCTCTCAGAAAATTTCAGAGCAGTCTCCTCTATGGCCCTCTCCTTCCTCCATCTCCCTGTCAGCCCCCCAAAAGCCTGAGAGCGGATCAAGGCCGGCATAGCTCGAATGAGGGTTCTGTGGACAGACAGGTGGGGGTGAAACATGGTGTTTCTGCCTTTCCCTTGCTCACTTCCTCCCAGCCCCCTTCCATGGCACATACATGACTCATCACTGAAGACTGTGGTGCCAGCCTCTGTCATGGGGTGGGAGGTGGCCATTCATTACTTGGGGATACCACGTCAGCTTTGACTTCTGTGTGTGGGGACACCTGGAGGGAAGAGCACTCATCTTTGCTCTGGACACTGAGATAGTACAGAGCCTTTCCTTCTTCCTCTCCTCCCCAATGTTTTATTCATTTAAAGCAAGAGGTTCTTCACCATTCTCCTGTCCCCTCCGGCAGTTTTTAACAAAGTCTACCAATGTCCAAATGCAAAGGAGATAGTATCCAGATTTGGCACACACACACAATCCCAATGCCTCAAATACAAACATTTATAAACTTTGAACTCTTCCTGTTGGGAATATTTTGTGATGGCAAAAGGGTGGTGCTGCCTCCCCAGTCAAAGGACAAGAAAAGTTTAGGGGAATTCAAGTCACCTGCCTGCTGCCTCTGAGATTGTCTTCTCAGAAAAAGATTGTTCCAGTGTGACTGGGAGAGGAGCTTAAGTACTGAAGGAATGGCAGAGCGCCCTAAAGGAAGGCTCTAGCACTCCCCAAGGTACATATACATATACACGCATTGGAATGAAAAATACTATGAATTTCAAGGTTCAGCTATAAGAGTAAACTGAGATTGCACTTATATTTAAAAATCTGTATGGATGAGTTTTATTTTTCAACCTCTGTGGGATTGAGAGATATATAAATATATACTCTTATACATAAATATTGACAATGAGGTACACCTACACACTGCTCTCTGGCAATGAGTAATCTCCATAGGAGCTCTTAACAAAATGGGGAGGCTGTGGGAAGGACATTCTTGGCTAAGGGTAAAGAGGTAGGAAATCTAGGTGTGTTTGTTGACTTTTGTGGAGTAATGAATCCATTTTTAATCCCCTTACCACTCCCTCCTTTCTTGTTAAATTATTCATTTTGAAGTGTTCAATTGGCCATTGGGGTCTGTTCTCTTTTTGGGGAGAAATGTGTTCTCTTTAGGTAACTTTCAAGATAGGGACTTTGCTATTGGAAGGGACAATTTAGGCTTAGCAACAGATGACAAAGTTGTTCTTGCTCAAAAAATTACATTTAAATCTTTTTTAAGAAAAAGATGTTTTTATTTCTTTTAGAAAGAGAGAGAGCAAATGAAACATCAATTGGCTGTCTCCTGCACACCCCCTCCCAGACACTGAGTCTGCAACCTGGGCATGTGCCCTGATCAGGAATTGAACTTGCAACCCACCGTAGTGAAGAAGTTACAGCTCTGGCCTTCCTGGAGTGTAGGTTAGAGTGGAGGAGGCACACAATGAGTAGATCAGTTAAAACAGTGATCGGCAAGCTCATTAGTCAACAGAGCCAAATATCAATAGCACAATGATTGAAATTTCTTTTGAGAGCTATATTTTTTTAAACTTCTTCTATGCCACTTCTTCAAAATAGACTTGCCCAGGCTGTGGTATTTTGTGGAAGAGCCACACTCAAGGGGCCAAAGAGCAGTATGTGGCTCTTTGTGGTAAGTTTCTGAAAAAAAATGGATAGCAGGATAAGGGGATAGAGCACTTGATGGGGTTAGTGGAATTGCTTTGGATTAAGCGATCCATCACAGTAGGCCTTCTTAGGAGGTGACATTTGAATTGAGGAAGTGAGCTGTGTGACAATCATCTGGAGGGAACAGCAACTGCAAAAGCAAATTAGCATAGAGTGTTTGAGGAGTGAGGAAGTGGAGATGAAATCAGAGGAGTCATGGTTGCAGGCCACCCACACCACTGCAAGGAGTTGGATTACTCCAGTGTAAGGACAGCCATTAGGGGATTTTGTGCAAAGAAGTGACAGAAGCTGATGTGTGCTTATAAAAATCATTGTAATTGCTGTGAAGATCATTCTGTCTGGCTGGATATGAATCAGATTCATCTGACACCAGAGTTCATTCTTAATCATTATGCCAAAAAGTTATACTGGGGAATGGTAATTGTTGTGAGAAAAGGTTCAGAGGAAGAAGAGGCTACATCTGTTTGGGACTTTTAAGGAAATCCAAGCTGGACTGTGCCTGGAGTGAGTAGACACAATGCTGAAAAGTGCGGTTGGACTGCATCTTGGCAGCCTTTGTGTCAGCCTAAGGAGTGTCAACTTTCTCTAACAGGCACGGGAGATCCTAAAGCTTCTAGGCAGGTGAAAGACGAGCTGATAGTGTGTCTATGATCTGCAAAGTGAGAAGACTAGCACTACTTACTGAATTGAATAAAGAGACCAGTCAGATGACAGAGCGGTCCAGGTGGACATTAATGATAGTTGCTGCTCCATTGGCAGCTATGACTATAAAGAAGGATAAAGGCTTGAGAAACACGGGGTGGGCAGAATAGACTGTCAGTGGGGCACAGGTAAAGGAAAGGCTAGAACTACATGACTGAGTTTTAAGTCTGAATGACAAGAACATTTCCTGCACACCTGGAATTGTTTGAATTACATGAATGTGTAAAAATAGAAATAGGCTCACTATTTTTAAAAAATTAATTCAGTATTTGACAATTTTGTGGTTTATCAGATGTTTAGGGTACTTTCTAAATATTATACGAATAAATGTTTTTAATGAGTTTTTTAATCCCCATTATAAAAATTATACATGCTCTTTATAATAAAATTTCAAAAATATAGAGAAGTGGCGAGCAGAAAATGCTTTTAAGTCACCCCAAATTCTTTCTGTCAAATAACTAGTGTAACAGTTGTGACAGCTGCCATTAGTGTGTGTATGCACACATTTTGGGTTTTGGGAGAGCTGAGTTTATATCAGTCCTCAGATTACCAAATGCTTTCATTTTTAGTTAGTGCAAAGCTTCTTTTTGGGTTTTATCTTAATTTTTAGTAAAGAAAGGAATGTTTCTCACTAATCTATTTGTGGAGACACATGTAAAAAGGGCATTGAAGCTCTTCCTACATAAGGCCTATGAAATATCATATTTACACATGATTTTCATTCTCCCTTTAAAGCAGAGAGAAAGATATGTCACAGAAAAGTATATTGCTCTGGTGTTAGAACGGAAATCTGATCTCTCAGTGCTAACTGTTCATACAAGAAGGAAAACTCATTACATGGCCAGTCCCCAAGGCCTTGCAATCTATGGGTCTCCTATGTGAGACAAAGACACATTAATACACACATTTTTATTTTTATTGGTTAAAGTCCCCACCATGAAGTTTGAATGTATGACTGAGCAATGATGATATCACCTTTTGACATGTGCTTTGTGAACTGATGAAGATTTTAGCTGTGTAAGCCCACACCCCAGATTCCCCTACCTGACCTTATGGCAATGTGTAGTATACACCTTGCTATTTTTATATGCATTATACAAACCTCTGTAAACACACTGACTTCTTTTTATTTCTTTGCAGGAAGTTCAGAAGAAAGTGTCTCTTTTCAATCTGCAGATGGACATAAGTGGGTTAATTCCTGGTCTAGTGTCCACGTTCATACTTCTGTCCTACAGTGATCATCGTGGACGGAAATTCCCTTTGATTTTGACTTCTGCCGGTGCTCTTGTGACCAGCGCCTGGCTCTGTCTGCTTTCCTATTTTACCTTTCCGTTCCAGCTTTTGATTGCATCTACCTTCATTGGGGCCCTTTTCGGCAATTCTACCACATTTTTGGGTGCCAGTTTCGCCTACATAGTTGATCAATGTAAAGAAGAAAAACAAAGAACAATTCGAATAGCTATCATTGACTTCATACTTGGACTTGTTACTGGATTAACAGGGCTGTCTTCTGGCTATTTTATTAGAGAACTAGGTTTTGTGTGGTCCTTTTTCATTATTACGATGGCTCTTGCTGTTAACTTGATTTATATTTTATTTTTTCTTGGTGATTCAATGGCAGAGTCTTTATCTCAGAATGTTTCCATATCATGTAGTGAAGGCCTTAAAAACCTATTTTACCGAACTTACATGCTTTTTAAAAATGCTTCCAGTGGGCGGCGATCTTTACTCTGTTTGTTACTTTTCACAATGATTACTTATTTTTTTGTGATAATTGGCACTTCCCCCATTTTTATCCTCTATGAATTGGACTCACCACTCTGCTGGAATGAAGTTCTTATAGGTTATGGGTCAGCTTTGGGTAGTGTCTCTTTTTTTAGTAGTTTCCTAGGAATATGGTTTTTTTCTTACTGCATGGAAGATATCTACATGGCTTTCATTGGAATTTTTACCACCATGGTGGGAATGGCTATGACTGCTTTTGCCAGAACAACATTGATGATGCTTTTAGGTGAGTTAAAAGTGTAGCCTTAGGACTAACTGTATTTGGGGTTTATGTCAAATGTATTTAGTCTGTTAGGTTGGTGAGAAACTTTAATATAAAATTCTCTGTTTAATGCGTTCTACTTCAATTAATGGTAATTTTTTAAAAGCTAGTTTTCCAAAAGCTGAACACCAATTTGCTTTGAAAAAGTAATTCATATAGTAACCACAATTTTCTAAATTTGCATATTTTCAAAAAAATTGTTCTAAGGAACACTCTTCTTATGAATCAATTCTTCAATATAACTTTCACCAATTTAGTATTTTTTAAAATGCTGCTAACAAGGCTATTTTACCTTTAAAAAATGTTAGGACAATTATGTAAAGTATACAGATTTAAAAGTAAAATTCATACTCACAGAATACACTTGAGAAAAATAATTCTCTATGACAAGGGTTTGCATATTGATCTTTTGACAAATTGGTCATTTCATAAACTAGCTTTTGATGAACCGCTTTTGGCAAATTGGACTGCTTTCTACTTACCTATTTCATAAGTGGTTTTTGTAGGGCTTGAGTGAGATACTGCATCCAATTGACTAAAGGATCTGCAAATTGGGACCTTAAAAAGATATAGTCGATTTTCCTCTACAGAAGGCAGTGTCATCCTCTTGGGAAGCAAAGTGACCAAACAGATTGGGGCTTGATTTCCATCTCCAACAATAGGTGATCTTGGGCAGGTTAATTAAAAACTCTAAGCCCTCATTTTTTCACCTGTAAAATGGGCATAGTACTTCCTAATTTAAAGGATTATAATGAATATTAGAAGAGGTTACAGCAAAGCACTCAGCACAATGCCTGATATTTAATAAATCCTATTTCTCCCTTAGAGTTTACAAGGCTATTAATTTATCTATGTGGAAACATGTTGAAAACTTTAAAGTGGTCTGCAAATGTAACACATTACTATTTTATCATATTCCTAAAAATACTACTGACTATTAAGGGTCATAATTTATGGCCAGATACAATTTGTGTCCATGAAGTTTTTCAGCCACAATGATGAACAAGCAAGAAGATAAAGAACCAATTTATCAATAAAATAAACAATATAATAAAATAATGCTAACACTAAAAATGCCAAGTCTAAAAAACAAAAAGTGAAGTGAAAAAACTTATTAACAGTCTCAACTTGCTACACAAGAGATTACTACAATAATTAGGGAAATAGCAGATCAATTCCCATTGGCATATCTGAACCTAAGACTTCCATGAACTCTTGTTCTTAACACTGGAATTAAGAATTTGAGAGTAAACTCACTTTAAACTGACCTGTCTATAGTCTCTTAATTCACTAAGTAGAATTCTATAATTCATTCAATCTTTAGATGCAATGACTTAGGATGCGAATAGAAATAAAATACTTAGAAAGTGTTTTACATAAAACTGACCACTAGTTTTCTGATTTCTAACCATTTCTCTCACAGTCAGACTGCTCTTCCTCTTCACTATTGTGCCACTTTCTGTTTTACGGTCCATGATGTCAAAAGTGGTTCCTTCTACTGAACAAGGTGAGTTTAATTTGGAATATAAGGAATCAAAACCTATCCCAGCTCAACTCTATGCATAGTTGAGTATTCTATAGTGTGTGGCTAATCCTTACGTGAGGATATTTTTTCCCCCATTGATTTTTTTTTTTTTTTTTTTTTTTTTTTTTTAGAGAGAGAGAGAGAGTGGAAGGGAAGGGGAAAGACAAAGAGGGAGAAACATCCATGTGAGAGAGACACATCGATTGCCTGCCTCTGGCATGTGCCCCAACTAGGGCTGGGGATCAAGCCTGCAATTGAGGTATATGCCCTTGACCAAAATCGAACCCAGGACCCTTCAGTCCAGAGGCCAATGCTCTATCCATTGAGCAAACCAGCCAGGACTGCATAGATTCCTTTTGAATTAAGTGGTAAGTTCTGTGTCAGGGAGAGGCTTTTATTCAGACAAGGGAGCCCCTGTCTATGAACTGATGAATAAATAAGCAAAATGTGGTATATCAGTACAATGGAATATTATTTGGCAACTAAAGGTCCAGTGCACGAAATTCATGCATGGGGAGGGGAGGTCCCCCCTCAGCTTAGCCTGCACCCTCTCCAATCTAGGACCACTCGGGGGATGTCCAACTGCCAGTTTAGGCCTTAAACCCGCAGTTGGACATCCCTCTCTCAATCCTGGACTGCTGGCTCCTAATCGCTCACCTGCCTGCCTGCCTGATCACCCCTAACTTGCGCCCTCCCTGCTGGCCTGGTCACCTCCTACTGCCCCTCACCCTGCCAGCCTGGTCACCGCCAGCTGACCCTCCTGCTGGTCTGGTTGCCCCTCAGGGTCCCCCGTCAGCCTGGTCACCCCACGCAGCCTGCTTGTTCAGTCATTTGGTCAGCCCTCACTAACCCCCTGCCAGCCTGGTCGTAGGCAGCCATCTTGTAATGGCATGACTGTCAATTTGCATATTACCTCTTTATTATATAGGACAAAAAGAAATAAAGTACTGACACATGCTACAACATGGATGAGCCTTGAAATCATTATGCTAAATGAAAGAAGCTAGTCACAAAGGCCACATATTATCATATAAATATGATTGCCTTTATATGAAATGTTCAGGAAACGCAAATCCATAGAGATAGAACTTAGATTAGTGTTTCCAGTGGCCTGGGGAAAAGGGAGTGATTGTTAATAGGTACAGTTTCTTTTTGAGGTGAAGAAAATGTTCTAAAATTAGGTAGTAGTGATGGTTACTCAACTCCACGAACACACTAAAAGCCACTAAACTGTACAGTTTAAAAAGGTGGTTTATGGTACAAGCAGGGCAAGCAGAGCTGTTTGAGGAGGTAAAGAAAAGTTTACTTGCTTGAGTTAGAGCCAACTAGACTTATCAGGATGCATAGTTTATTTTGTTTATATTTTATTCCATTTACTTATAAAGGCCTTTAATAAGTCATTTCTTTTTTTTCTTTTTTTTTAAATATATTTTATTGATATTTTACAGAGAGGAAGAGAGAGGGATAGAGAGCTAGAAACATCGATGAGAGAGACTCATCGATCAGCCGCCTCTTGCACACCCCCTACTGAGGATGTGCCCGCAACCAAGGTTCATGCCTTTGACCGGAATCAAACCTGGGACCTTTCAGTCTGCAGACCGACGCTCTACCACTGAGCCAAACTGGTTTTGGCTTAATAAGTCATTTCTTATTGTTAAATGTAGTGACATTTTAAAATGTTTAGTTTACATTTTAGAATTTCCTGTTCTGAATTGTGATAACTTTTAGTTTTATCCTATTGTCACTGGAACTACTTTGCATTGTTTTAGGCCTCTGCATGTAAGGTACTTGAGCATCCATGGATTTTGGTATCTACAGGGGTCCTGGACCCAATGGTGTGCGGATACTAAGGGACAGCTGTAGTTAAGTTTTCGACTGCAGGGGAAGGAGGGAGAGTGCCCTTAATCCCAGTAGTGTTCAGGGGCAACTGTATTATGTTTCCAACATTTCTCACATCAAGTCCAAGGAGAACTGTTGACCTCACTTTCTTCATCCACAAAATGGGTTACTGTCCTCAGGGATTTTGAGGGGATAGTTTCACTCACCAAGTAGTGCCCTCATGTTTGTTCTTATCAAATGACTAACAGTTTTCTCCATTTGTTTTGTTTGTTGTGTAACTCAGTCTTTTCTTTTTTCTCCCCCTGCACCCGACCCCCAAACAGGGACTCTGTTTGCTTGTATTGCTTTCTTTGAAACACTTGGTGGAGTCATTGCAGTTTCTACTTTTAATGGAATTTATTCAGCAACTGTTGCATGGTACACAGGCTTCATCTTTCTGCTGTCTGCTGGTCTATTACTAATTCCAATGATCAGTCTATGGTATGTACTTATTTTTAATCATTTTATCAAAGAATAATTAAATTAAATTAATTCCATTGCCTCGCCAGTATAAGTACATTGGTAGCCTTGCCAGTAAAAATACATAGATCTGTTGAAGTTTGGCCTCAAAATGTACATTTCTCAAACAATTTAGACATGAAAATATCTGTCAATAATTCTGGAGACTTAGGAAAAAAGAGACAGTGACATAGCTGGACCAGAACTAGAAGAAAGAAAGATTGGGTCAGATAGATACTCTGAGAAGTTGGTCCTATCTCTTTAAATATGAATAATTGACCAAATTAGCATCTCAGACTAGGCAGACTATGATTTCCTAGGGTGTAATGTCTCCTGGTGATCAAAGATTACTGTAAGAAGATATACTTTAATCTGGATTCTTGGATAACGAACAGATAGCAGGCACTGAGTGTTAGGCATTCTCTTTCCAGAGAGTTGTTTTGTTTGATGGCTCCCTTTTGAATTGTCAGTATCCAAATAAATATAAAGTACAAAAATGCTTTTGATGAATAGTACACAGAATGAAAAGATAGAGGCATAAACATATGCCTTTCAATTAACAAAAAAGTATATGCTAATTAGGTAAGCGATTGCAAAAGTTCCCAAGCAGATATATTTGACATATCCTTTGGGACCAAAGCCTTGAGCTCTGAGCTCATTCACCTGTCTCTGCTGAGCTTGGTCCATTCCACGTGGTGATAACGTGGCCATGAGGCCTCAGGAGAAGAACTTGGGGCCCAGCCTCCAGGCTTCACTGCCTTCTCCTCAGCACTGTGGGTGGTGGCAGTGGGTACAAGAGGACAGCTCCTGTGTGCACAGGCTGTAGGCATCTCACTGGACTGTGAACTCCTGAGAGGGCTGGCCTTGTCTCATTCATCGTAGGACTACAATATATATTGTCTCAATTAAGTTCTGATACCTTGGTCTGTGTAAGACAGAGTGTAAGTAGTATTTACAGTTCCTCTGCAATTTTGATGAAAAATGATTTTTACTAGGCATCTTTTTTTTTTGCTGGTAGTAATGTTGTTTGGCACTCTTATTTTCAGAAAACAATTCATAAACATGTATCAAAAGCTTTATTAAAAGTTCTTAATATCTGACCCAGTGATTCCTTTTAGAAACCTCTCCCAAGAAAATGATTAGTAAAGAAGTTCATATGGCAGAATTTTTTTTAAAATAAGTGTACAACAATGGTTAAAGATGGTGCATCCATATCATGAAAAATAGTGTAAGAATTGCCTGCATGGGGAGTAGAATAGTGGGTACTTTTCATTTTAGTCTTCATATACTTATAAATATTCTGTTATGAACACATACTTTTTTAACTGGAAAAATCAGTGCAGCTGGATAAAAGATAATTATCCTCTTAATAATGCTTCTAATATTGTCAATGTAGGTGATCTGAGATTTTTTTAACCCTGTACTGTTCAATAATTTTAAAATGAAAATTGCATACTATTTTAATTATTTCTAGATGGCTTCTTATCCTACTTCACTTATAGCTACTGAGCATGCACTTCAATCATAGCTTCAGTCATAATTATTTTTTGTGGACTACAGAGAGCAGACAATGGGCCAAGTCCACATTTTAGGAATCTGGAAGAGAAAGAACTCGGAGTTTTTTTTGTGTGTTTTGTTAATTCATGACCTGATTATACTTTTCAATTTATTTGAGAGAAAATGGAAGGGAGAGAGACAAAGAGATTGAAATATCGATGTGAGAGACACAGATTGGTTGCCTTTGCAAGCCTGCAACGGAGGTATGTGCCCTTGACCGAAATAAAATCTGGCATCCTTCAATCTGAAGCCTGATCCTCTTTCTTTTGAGCCGAACAGGCTAGGGCAGAACTCATGTAGTTTTAAATTCTTTTCAGAATGTTATGGAAGTGAGCCTGTAGGACTCAAAACACCAGTATGTTCGTTCTATGCATAATCTGCATAATTTCTCAGAAGCCCAGTAACCAGGGAAAAGTGAAATACAGACTATTTATTTGTGTTACCTTAGTCACAATTTTTAAATGTCCTGTTTGCTTGTACAGTATTGTCAAGTGTAGCAGTTGGAACAAGAGAAACAGCGCACTTCTTATCCAGGAAGACACCAGTGAAGACACATCAGACCCGTGATTCATTGTGATTTCAGAACAGTGCACATGCCATGTACTCTGACTTGTGCGGCGTCCTGCCCCGCTCAGTCAGTGCTCCAGGAACAGCCGGCGGTTGTGTCCTTTCTTCTGGCCGGAGCAGGGAAAGGAGCGCGGCTCCAGCGTCTGGAGGACCGCGTGCTACAAGCACCTTATGAACATCGTGTGATGTGTTTCCGGTACAGAGAACAAATCTCAAAGCACTTGCCCTTTTTTTTTTTTTTTTTAATATATTTTATTGTTTTTTACAGAGAGGAAGAGAGAGGGATAGAGAGTTAGAAACATTGATGAGAAAGAATTAAAGAATTATCGACCAGCTACCTCTTGCACACCCCCTACTGGGGATGTGCCTGCAACCAAGGTACATGCCCTTGACCGAATCGAACCTGGACCACTGGTTTCGGCAAGCACTTGCTCTTTTGGGATTTACAAAAGAAACTGAAACTTAACAGTGTCAGGAGGGATTAAGACACTTGATATGATCAAATACAATAACCTCCCTGGCATATGCCAGTCGCTCACACTGAGACCTCCATTCTTTGTCTGAAAAATGGCTTTCTGACCTCTCTAGGGTTTTGAAGGACAACTATCAGAAATTATGATGAATCCTTCAATAAAAAAAAAATAATAGAAATTTTAAATATTTATGATTTTACCTCTACTTAGGTAATACTTTGTTTTTGGAGCCCATCTAGGTACTGTTGATAGTAAAAGCTTTTAATCTATGTAAAATCCTTAATATAGAAGTGCTTGAAAGAATACATTATTTTCACTTTTCCTAATATGTTTCATTTGTGACAGATACAATATTTCTATATGCAATAAAAGGTAATTGGAAAAACCAGATTATAAATAAAATTGTTTCTAAAGAAGTGTAAAAATGGAGTAAGTAGTCATTCGGGAAATAAAGTAATATTATAGCACCAGTCTTCACTCCTAATTTCTGCCACAGGGTACCCATTTCTTACTGGCTTGCACCCATCCCGGTCTGCCCTAGTCCCTGAAAGCACTACATGCTTTCATCTTTTACTCACTGTCCCTCCCTAGGCAATCATCAGGGACCTGAGGCTGCATGGTGCCGGGGCAGGGGACCTGAGGGAGTGCCCCCACCCACCCACCCAGCAGGGCTTGATGGGGGATAAAATTGGGTGGTATACACTGAGTGGCCACATTATTATGCTTTCTGAATGCATAATAATATGGCCACTCAGTGTATATCCTATATGATAAAAAGGCTAATATGCAAATTGTCACCTCCACTAGGAGTTCAACCAGCAGGCAGGCAGGCCAACCATCCATGTCCCCCCCATCCTCCCACCCCGTGGCCAGGCTGGCTGGACCCTATCCATGTATGAATTCATGCACTGGGCCTCTAATATACACACACACACACACACACACACACACACACACACACACACATATATATATATATATATATATATATATATATATATATATTAGAGATTATTATGCATTCAGAGATCATAATAATCTGACCACTCAATGTAGAAAGATACTTTGTAAATAATAAAGTATTTGTACTTTTGACTTGGGAAGAGCATTTCATAGGAAGGAAAACAAAAATAAATAAATCTGAGCATCACTCAGTTTTTACATGGGCTCCCAAACCTAAAATGGTCTTGGAAATAAGAACTCCCAGCACTTAATTTATATTAGAGGGAGGGAAGGAGATAGAATGAGAGAGAGAGAGAGAGTGAGAAAAACACTGATATGAGAACACATATCCCATATGCTCCCTCAACCTATGTATGTGTGCCGAGAGGAAATAGGGCCCACATGGGATGATGCTCCAACCAACTGAGCCACACCGACCAGGGCAAGAACACTTTGTATTTTAAATGATGAGCTATTTGCTAGTTAAGCAAGCACTAATTTTCCTACAGGAAAAGTCATAAGCACTGCTATCAAACAGAAGACTATCTGCTTTCAAGAGATTATAAAGAAGTTAATCAGCTAGTTGTGCTTCAAGGCATTTGTGTTATTACATATTAGTGGCCTAGTACACAAAATTCATGAACATTAAAAGGGAATTAGAGGAAATATTTCAATATTGTTATTTGCCCTTTCTCTATAATAGAAGTGTCAGAGATGAAAGAAAATTAGTAAAATGTATATGAAAACCTTCCTCCTGTCAAAATTTGGGGTGCACCGTGGGACCCAGAGTCAAGTCCCTGCCCACCTATGTGCGCCTTTGTACGCCGAGAAACCCAGACCTGGCCAGCCCCACCCTTATTGGGCAAGATCCAGACATGGCCAGTCCTATCCTCACCAAGCCCTGTCAGGTGGGGGACGTAGCCTCAGGTCCTTTGTCAATCCCCCGGAGGTGGGGGGGCATGGCCTGAAGTCCCCCATCAAGCCCTGCTGGGTGGGTGGGTGGGGGCACTCCCTCAGGTCCCCTGCCCCGGCACCATGCAGCCTCAGGTCCCTGATGATTGCTCATTACAGCTCATTACGGGAATTCCACCTCCGCTGTGGGTGCAGCCAGCTTGTGTTACGGGAACCCAGCCTCCGCTGCGCAGTACCATCTTGTGATGGCATGAGGGTCAATTTTCATATTACCTCTTTATTATATAGGAAGGATGGTAACTTAGAAAATGGGAGATATCAAAGGGCCTGTGAAAATATTATCAATTAATTTGAAAAGTATACAGGCTACTATATTTTTCAATTTATTTGCAAGCTGGCTTGACAAGTATAGCATATCTGTGGTTACTTTCCTGAAGCATTAAATATGTAGCTTTAAATTATTTTTACAAGTAAAAACAAAATTTTGTATTAAGTTAAAATTAAGTAAAAACCTACATCGTATATTAAAGAAGGACTGGGTTACCAGAGAAATCAAGGAAGAAATTAAAAACATTCTGGAAACTAATGACAATGAAAACACAACAATCCAAAATCTATGGGACATAGCAAAAGCAGTTTTGAGAGGGAAGTTCATATTGCAAGCCTATTGCAAAAGACAAGAAAAAATGGTAACAAATTATCTAACTCTACAACTCAAAGAGTTAGAAAAAGAGCAACAAGAAAAGCCCAGTGTAAGCAGAAGGAAGAAAATAACAAAAATCAGACCAGAGATAAACGACATAGAGACCAAAGAAACAATACATAAGATCAACAAAACCAAGAGCTGGTTCTTTGAAAGGATAAACAAGATAGATGAACCTCTAGCCAGGCTAACCAAGAAACAAAGAGAGAGGACTCAAATAAACAAAATCAGAAACTAAAGAAGTGAAATAACAACAGACCCCATCAAAATACAAAGGATTGTTACAAAATACTACGAACAACTCCATTCCAACAAACTGAACAACCTGGAGGAAATGGACATATTCCTAGAAAAATACAAACTTCCAAAACTCAATCAGGAAGAATCTAAACATCTCAATAGAGCAGTGACTTGGGAAGAAATTGAAACAGTCATCAAAAAGCTTCTAGCAAACAAAAGCCCAGGGCCAGATGGCTTCATAGGAGAGTTTTACCAAACATTCAAGGAAGAACTAAAACCTATCCTCCTCAGACTATTCCAAAAAATTCAAGAGGACGGAACACTTCCAAACTCCTTCTATGAAGCCAGCATCACCCTAATTCCAAAACCAAAGACAACTCAATGAAAGAGAATTACAGGCCAATATTCCTCATGAACATAGATGCCAAAATCCTCAACAAAATTCTAGCAAATCGGCTCCTGCAGAACATCACAAAGATCATACACCATGACTAAGTAGGATTTATTCTAGGAATGCAAGGATGGTACAATATCCACAAATCAATAAACATGATACATCACATAAACAAAATGAAAAATAAAAATCATATAGTCATGTCAATTGATGCAGAAAAAGCATTTGATAAAATCCAACACCCTTTCCTGATAAAAACTCTCAACAAGGTGGGAGTACAAGGATCATACTTCAACATAATAAAAGCTATATATGATAAACCCACAGCCAACATCATACTCAATTGACAAAATCTAAAACCATTCCCTCTAAGAACAGGAACAAGACAGGGATGTCCACTATTGCCACTCCTGTTTGACAGTGTACTGGAAGTACTAGCCATTGCAATTAGACAAGAAGAGGAAATAAAAGGCATCCAAATTGGAAAAGAAGAAGTAAAGTTATCCTTATTTGCAGATGACATGATATTGTACATAGAAAAACAAAAGACTCCATTAAAAAACTAATTGACTTAATAAATGAATTTGGCAATGTAGCAGGATACAAAATTAACGCCAAGAAATCCATGGCATTTCTATACACCAATAGTGAAATTACAGAAACAGAGACTAATAAAGCAATTCCATTTACCATCACACCAAAAAAATTAAGATACCTAGGAATAAATTTAACTAAGGAAGTAAAAGACCTATATGCAGAAAACTACATGACACTGAAAAAAGAAATAGAGGAAGATGTAAACAGATGGAAGAACATACCATGTTCATAGATTGGTAGAATCAACATCATCAAAGTGTCCATACTTCCTAAAGCAATCTATAGGTTCAATGCACTCCCCATTAAAATACCAATGGCATATTTCACTGACCTAGAAAGAACTCTCCAAAAGTTCATTTGGAACAATAAAAGACCCCGAATAGCCACAGCAATCCTGAGAAAGAAGAGTAAAGTAGGAGGGATCTCAATACCAGACTTCAAACTGTATTACAAAGCCACTGTTCTCAAAACAGCCTGGTACTGGCACAAGAACAGACATATAGATCAATGGAATCAAATCGAGAACCCAGATATCAACCCAAATCACTATGCTCAATTAATATTTGACAAAGGAGGCACGACTATACAATGGAGTCAAGACAGTCTCTTCAATAAATGGTGTTGGGAAAACTGGACAAATACGTGCAAAAGAATGAAACTAGATCACCAACTTACACCATACACAAAAATAAACTCAAAATGGATACAGGACTTAAACATAAGACTGGAAACCATAAAAATACTAGAAGCATCCACAGGCAGCAAAATCTCAGACATATGCCAAAAGAACTTCTTCACTGATACTGCCCCTAGGGCAATGGAAGCTAAAGAGAAAATAAAAAAATGGGACTACATCAAAATAAAAAGCCTTTTTACAGCAAAAGAAACCATCAACAAAACAACAAGAAAGCCACATATTTGCAAATGTTACCACTGATAAAGGTT